TCAGTCGACTTCAAACAACCTGAGCAGAGAAAACCTTCCCAAAGATATAAACAAGTGAAAAACACATCAGTTTAATAAACTGTTTAATAAACTACACAGAGTAGTTTAGACCGATTCTGACTTTAACTGATCCCAAATAATGAGAAAGTGTTGTTTTCTGCAGCAGCAGAAAAACTCAGCCTTCAGATCCTCTGTCACTGCAGAAAAACCACTATAACTTGTAATAAACTGAAAATATATTAAATATTTTATATTAAATATTTAGCTTGAAATATTTTTGTTTATTACATCAAGTCTTACTCATCATCAGTGTAAAATGTATTGCATTAAAAAGGATTGTGATCAGTATGTGTAATTCTGCAACATCGAATTAAAATTTTCTTACACAATAATGGTAAATGGTACTGAACTTACAGAGCGCTTTTCAAGTCCCTCCGGACCCCCAAAGCGCTTTACACTAACAGACATTCACCCATTCACACTCACATTCACACACTGATGATGGCAAACTACACTGTAGCCACAGCTGCCCTGGGACACACTGACAGAGGTGGGGCTGCCATGCATCGGCNGTTTACTATTTTATACTACTTCTGTGATATTACTACTACTTCTACTTCCTGTTATCTTCTTCATCGTCGTCTTTTTCACCAGTAGAAACAGCCGGTTGTTGATCACGTGACTCCTGTGATGTGAAAAAAGTGTTTCCATTGCAGTTTTGCGAAAAACACCAATTTCGATACGGCCGAAAAATCACCTCATCCTAGCGCAAAAACATTTTGTCGAAAAACGTAATTTATTTCAAAATTGACGTGTTTCCGTTGAGCAAATTTATTTTCGAAATTCTAATTTTTGAGTTTTCATGGTCAATGGAAACACAGCTACTGCCTGGCCAAAGAAAGTCGCCACCTGGATTTAACTAAACAAAAAGGTACAAACTTCCTATTGGATAATTACTGCATGAATGACTATTTTTCTGCTGGCAACAAGTTATTTAAGGTGCGATGAGTTGCATCTCATTTCTTAAACAACCATGCCAGTCTGCTTGAGAAGGGTAGGATCATTGGCATCAAGCAGAGAAAACATCTAAGATTGAATAAACTACAAAAATTAAGAACTATCCATCGCGTTGTTAAAAACTAGAAGAATAGTGGGGACCCATTGTCTTGGAGGATGCACCCATCATGCCTTTAATGTACCAGCCTGTGGGAGCAGTGTGATGATGTGGGGTTGCTGCAGTTGGTCAGGTCTAGCTAGGTTCAACAACAATAGTCTGTGCTCAACGACTGAGGTCAGCTGACCTGAATACACTGAATGAGCAGGTTATTCTTAGGGCTGTGTATTGGCAAGAATTTGGCGATACGATACATATCATATCATAACAGAGGGGTCACGATACGATGTATCCCGATATATTGCGATACTGTAAGCAAGGCGATATATTGTGATATATTGCGATTTTTTTGTCCAAAAATTCTAAAGAATAAAAACCTCTTATTGAACAAAAAAAATAAGAAAAGCTAATGTTTACTTACATTGTCTCCTACAATGCTAATGCTACCCTTACTCTCTGGCGCTCAAGAGGTAGAGGAGCCAAATGGCTGGCTCACTGCTGCCAACTANTAATAATAGCAGCCTTTTAGGTTCACTTTATGGTTCATTCTACAGCAGATCACACAGAACTGATGACTAAATTTGTTTGTTTCTTTGAACGGACCATGGTGACAGAACCTATTATTTTCTGTTTCTTTAGTTTTTAAACCACAGGAAGCTTTATTGTCCTCTGAGGTGATATTTCCCTGCTGTTTGTGAGGAAACTGTGCAGAAAAAGCTGAATGGACTGATTGCTGAGGCCAATTTTCCTCCCTCTCCTTTTTTGTTTCAGGCAGGAAAATGCTGAAAAATCCACACAGACCAGAAAAGGAAATAGTCACATAAATGAAACAACAGTTTTTCAATAGTAAACTTTTATCATTCAAAATAAAACCATTTCCATTTGTCCAGTTTGAGACTTTTAACTTATTTATTGTGACAGCCTCAGTTAGCTGGAAAAGGACAGACTGCTCATGTTTACTCTGTCCTCCAGTTAACAATAAAGCTGTTTTATCCTGACTGCTGTCACATGTCAGCTTCTCCACAAGTTACATGAATTTTCTTGCATTTTAAATTCAAATATCAGCTGAAGTTAAAAGCTTTAAAAGGTTTGAGAAGATTTTGTTCCATTTTTTACAACTGTGTTGCAAAAACTCCAACTATAATCCTTGGAGGAACACACACCAACATGTTTTAGTTTAGCAGCAGCTGATATTTGACTTCACATTCAGGCTCTTTGCATCATTAACAGAACCATGACACGTGTGCAGCAGTTCAGAGACCTAGTGCACAAATCTAGGATAAGGGATTAAGCCAAAATTTTGGTGTAAACCTGAATTAAGTAAGTATTTAAACCTGAATTAAGTAAGTGTTTAGTAAATTCAACAGTTTCTTTCTTAGAGAGTACTTTTACTTCCCGATTAAGCAGTTTCATGACTTTTACTTAAGTACTTTTCATCCATCCATCCATCCATCCATCCATCCATCCATCCATTTTCTTCCGCCTATCCGGGATCGGGTCGCAGGGGCAGCAGCTTCAGAAGGGAGGCCCAGACCTCCCTCTCCCCAGCCACTTCTTCCAGCTCCTCCGGGGGAACTCCAAGGTGTTCCCAGACCAGCCGAGAGACATAGTCCCTCCAGCGTGTCCTGGGTCTTCCTCGGGGCCTCCTCCCGGTGGGACGTGCCCGGAACACCTCACCAGGGANCTCACTGCTGCCAACTAGTGGTCAGAGGCTGAACTACAACATAAAAATGAACAGCTGGCAGGAAAGTTGACATTTTAAACCTTAATAAAAAATTGATACAGGGTTTTAGAATATCGATACAGTATCAGGAAATGAAATATCATGATATTTCAGTGTATCGATATTTTCTTACACCTCTAGTTATTCTATCAATGATTGTTTCTTCTCTGATGAAATGGCCATATTCCAAGATGACAATACCAGGATTCATGGGGCTCTTATTGTGAAAGAATGGTTCAGGGAGCATGAGACATCATTTCCACACATGGATTGACTCCACAGAGTCCAATAAGAATCTTTGGGATGTGCTGGAGAAGGTCAGACTCTACCATCATCAATGCAAGATGTTGGTGAAAAATTAATGCAACTCTGGATGAAATAAATCTGGTGACTTTGTAGAAGTTTTTCCAAACAACGTCACAGAGAATGTGTGCAGTGATCAAAGACAATACGAAATATTAGAGTGTGTGACCTTTTATTTTTTTTTGGCCAGGCAGTCTTTATATACATACCTAAAAGCAAAAACAGGAGTGTTAAAATTTCAGTGTCAGTCACCCCTAGGGGGTGTTGATTTAACACCCCCTAGGGTTATTTTAACACTTCCTGAGTAAATTGACACCCAGTGTTGGTGTTAATTCACAGTGTTAATTTCCTCACTGTTGTCTCAACACTGGACAGTGTTAAATAAGCTCCGCCCACAGTTAAGTCTTATACAACACTAAACAGTGTTGTTATATAACACCATGCAGTGTTGAAAGAAGTATTCTGAAAAGCCCCGCCCTTTTCCACCTCATGTCAGACAGACCAGTATTTACCCAGCATTCCTTGCTGAGAAATCTTGCAGAAATGTTGTTTTTGCAGGTTTATGACTGTTAAAGACGTTCATGAGAGTAAAAATTAGTTGTTCTGGTTTGTTTTCTTGTTCAGTTTGATCAAGATGTTCAACTTTAAGTTTGTGTTATTGGCCAAAAATCGACACCATGAGTGAGAGGTACTGTATGTCCTGGTGTGTGAAGGGTGACTCCATTATACTTTTTTTACTAACTACTGAATGAGTTGGATATTATCTCTGTATTAAATTTGCCCTCTCAGTTTGTTGATGTGTTGACACTTTGTGGTGTCTGTTAACCTTTCAAACACCACAATTTCCTTTGTTAATGATAATACGCTGGTGTTACTTTTAACACTTTATTTTAACACTGTTAAAATGTTAATATGTGTTCGGGTTTTTTAACCTAGGAACTCAGAGAGACACAGCAAAACCCGGCCGAACATTAAATCAATGACAACAGAGACAAGTGAGATTTTTAAGATTCACTTTGCAAAGGAGAACCCATGCACTTAGCTTTGCTCAGATGAGCTCAGAGAAGTCCAATGAAGTTCTGACCTCCGTGGGCGTGATCAGTTTTTTATTAAAATACGTAAATGTTGCGTCACAAGCAAAACAGCGAATCAACAC